CAAGCATTAATTAAAATTCCCAGTTCCTGTATGATACTTGGACAGGAAGTAACAGCTGAAAATAAATGTTTGCGGTGCTCAAAAAAACAAAACAAAAAATATCACTACAGGATAGGTTCAGGGACCCATGGTGAGACAGACCTGAGCTAAAACTCCATTAATAACTTGACAACCACTCTCGACCCTGCTCTAACTGGTGGTCCACAGTGACATTTTGGGTCTACTGAATAGTGTCAATTCAGAGCCTGTGTCCAGTAACCCACAGTAAGTCTGATTATTTCCTTTCCCCCAATAAACAGTCACTCTTATGAAAGGCTGTTGATCCCTTGGGAAAAGCTGGGAAAAGATTAACAAGATAAATTTCTGCCAGTGTAGTGGGGCTCTTACTCAAGGGGACCTGGTCTCCCCATCATCCAAGGGGTTGTGGTCTGTAGACGGAATGCTCCTTGGAAGCAAGAATGGCTAGACTTTGTCTCATCTACTTTGGTCATGTTGTAGGAAGGGACCATTCCCTGGAGAGGGATATCATGCTTGGTAAGGTAGAGGGTTGACAAAGAGGGGAAGGCCCTCAACAAGATGGAATGACACAGTGGCTGCAGCGATGGGCTCAAGTACAGCAAGGATCATGGAGCTGGCGCGGGACCGGGCAGTGTTTCGTTCTGCTGTGCGTGGGGTCGCTATGAGTCTGAGACGCCTCGACAGCACCTAACAATAACAACTACAACACTGGCCCCCATCACTGCAGGGTCCAACCAGCACCATTGTAGTTAGCTGTCTTAATTCAATTAGGGCAGTTTTCACCATCAAATCTGGTCTACACAAAACAGCAATCACAGCACCTTCAAGGGGGCTGGGGCTCCCTTCATTAATTTGTTCCCCACCATGGCGGTAAAAGTCATGTCTGCTGAGGACTCCCTGGGTGGGTCTGTGGGTCTAAACGGATAAAGGCACTCTAACGCGCCAGCTTCCCTGAGCCCTGGGAACCCTCCTCTACAGCATCCCAAGGCAGGTCTGGCACTTCCACTCGATTCATGTGGGCCACTGCTTAATCCCTGCCTCAGTGAACCAAGCAAATAACTAGTAGATCCTTTTCCAACCTCTCGAGCTGAAACAGAGTAGAGTCTGTGCTTAGTGGGCCCTTATCAATAAACTCAGACTGATGCGTCACTATGCTCCTTGCACCACTACGCACACCTTTATTAGCTGTTCCCACACACATGCTCCAGGTCTCTGTCGTACAAACTAGAAGAATCAAGCAGTTCTTTTGGGGTGTAGTGCACTGTGATAGTTAAGGTTGGACGTCAACTTGGCCGGACCATGATTCTGAGCGGTGTAAGAAGTTGTGTGGTTGTTGCCATGATGCGTTGATGTACATGCTTTGAGCAGTTGAAAGGCAGTTGCCTTGGGGGCACAGTCTGCCTCCTATGTCGTTCCTACAACTATCCCAGGAGCCAACAGTCTGCCATTCTGCCTGCTGATCGTGGACTCATCACCCACCCACGTCAGCAGCCTGCTATGCCGCCTGCCAGTCGTTAGCCCGGCAGCCTCTGCAGCTGTGGAAGTGGGGAACAGCCTCTGGCTTCATGTTTGATGCAGGAACTTGGGACTTGCCGGCCTCCATAACTGTGGGAGCCATTTTCCTGACATAAACGTCTCCCTCTCTCTCTGCATATATTTGTGTGTGTATATACATATAAACACTCATAGCGACCCCTCCTTGGGTTTCTGAGGCAGTATCACTATGGAAGTAGATTGCCCAATCTTTCTTCTGAGGAGTGGCTGCTGGGTTTGAACCACCAGCCTTCTGGTTAGCAGTCAAATGCCTTAGGCACTACGTCACCAGAGCTTCTGTATATACATATATATAAATGTATATTTATTTATTTACACACACACACACACACACACACACTTTACTGGTTTTTACTTCTCTAGAGAACTAGCCTAAGACGTGTACCTCTTCCTGGGTCACACTTCACCTTTGGGGCTCACTGGGGCTTAAGTCTAGCCATAGGTCTAGAAGTAAACATGAGTGGTGGGAACACTCAGTAATGCTTTGTAAGCCATCCGCCTCAGGTGATGGCCCACATAACACCCCAGATGCCATCCTAGGTGATATCTCATATAGACTCATCAGTTTACAGCTGGGTGAGCCTCATCGAATGGAGTTAAGAGGGCTGGTTCCACTGGCAGGAGTGATTCAATAGAACTTAGGGGCTCGATGTCCCCAGTTTCCTGACTATCTGCCCATATGTGTCCATCCCAAGTTTCAGGACCCCATTTCTTCCCAATCAATGCCCTTGCTTCAACTTCAGACACTGTTCAAGGCTGGGAATTCAGTTGGTGTTGGCGTTCTGTCGCTCCTACGATATGACTCTGGGTTTGTTTTTTGGCAGTATCAGCTTTCTTACTCCAACAGACAAGGCTTTCTTTCAGGGCATGAATGGCAACATTGGGGTCTTTTATGAGGAGCTTAAAGGAACTCTTGTGGCATAGTGCCTAAGGCATTTGACTGCTAACCAGAAGGTTGGCAGTTCAAACCCCCAGCCACTCCTTGGAAGGAAGACTGGGCAATCTACTTCCGTAAAGATTTATTGCCTCGGAAGCCCAAAGAGGGTTGCTATGAGTCGGAGCTGACTTGATGGCAATGAGTTTGGTTTTGGCTTTTACGAGGAGCTTGAGCTGTGACTCTCAAACCCTGAGCTCATCTCATTCTTTCACCACTTTGTCTAGCGTAAGTAGGACAAACCAACCAGCTTCTTTATACTTCTCATTCTGACAAAATCATAGGAAATATCAAACATGCAGTCACCAGAGCCTCGCTTCTCGCCAACACTTGATCTACTGGTGGTGCCATTTTCCACATTAACACTGTACCTCACATCACGGATTAGCAGCACCCTCTTTACCAGTGGAGGTAAAGTCACCAGTGCATTTAAGGCCAGTCAGACTTAAGAGCCACCTTAGAAAACTCAGCCTTACTGTTGTATTTCTCTCAAACTGCTCTGTGTTGATGGGTTCAAACACAGCAGCAGCAGTGAGGCTGATTTAGGACCGGGCAGTGTTTCGTTCTGTTGTACGTGGGGTCACTATGAGTCAGAACTGACTCGACTGCACCCAACAACAAACACAGACCTGACTACAATAAACAAGTCATGTGCCACCCCAAGACTCAGGACCCAGAGCCAGGAAAACCTCAGCTCACATGAGGAGAGACGTCAGCAGATACAACAAAGAGGTGACACAGGTGCTGGAATTACCTGACAAAGGTTTTAAAGCAGCCATCACAAAAACGCTTCAGCACGAGACCCAGTACACTCTTCACACAAATGGGGGAAAAGAACATCTCAGCAAAGGAAAAGAAGACACAGCACAGAGCCAGAGGAAAACCTGAGAACTGAAAATAAGTAACCGAAACACAAGGTGAACCGGATGGACTCAGTAGTAGCACGAAGGTGGCTGAGTGCACTGCAGGGAGTTCTAGCGCACGGCTACCTAGCCATGGTCTCGGGGTGCCTGCAGAATGACTGAACGGGACTATGCAACCCTAACAAGGCGATAAGTCAGCCTGATAATAATGCAAATAAAGCAGGACCACGCAAATAAGGTGTATGGAACACTAGCAAGGGGTTTGGTCAGTTCTGCCATCCCACTAGGCATAACGGGAGCCAATCCTAGAACTGGAAAAGGGGACCTCACTACCATCAAGAGCCAGGAGCAGAGTGTGTCCTTTGGATGCTGAGAACCTCCTAGACCCAGGAGACGGAGAGCAAGCTGTAACACCAGAGACAGAGAGACAAAAACCCAAGGAGACACCCATAAAATAATTTAAAACACGTTTTGTAAGATGCTTTGAATGCCTTCCAACTGTGGCCACAAGGAATGGAACCTGTATTGTCATGGAAGGCACTGTGACAGCACAAGGAGCGCTGGTGGCACAGTGCCTAAGCCACGTGACTGCTAACCGGAAGGTTGGTGGTTCAAACCCACCAGCTGCTCCATGGCAGGAAGATGGGGCTCTATAAGTCGGAATCAATTTGATGGCAAAAGGTTTGCAGAGTATGGTAACAACAGCCACGTCGAATGCCCTTCCCTGACCCACAACTCCATCAGAGCACACGTTTCAATAGTGAGTTGGAGACAACTGAATGTCAGGGTAAAAGGGCACCAGGACCCTTTCCCCACTACGTGAGCTCTCTGGCTCCTTCACACCCGTGGGTGGTGTGTGTGTGTGGACAATCCTACTCGGCAGCACTGCTCGCACAGAAACGACCTGGGGAGTTCCACCTGGACTGGGAGAGACACTGAAGCAACATACCCCATGCTTCCCCAAGATGGCGGCTCTGTGACAGGCCAGGCCAGCTGCAGGGACTTCAGAAACTACACCTGTAGGTTATTCAGAGAGACATTGGCTCCTGCAGGTAAGACGCATCCACACCAAGCAAGGCTGCAGAAACCCAACTGCTGCTGTCTGAACCCCTCCGTGTAAGTGGGCAGCCGACATGTGAGCAGCGGGCCAGCACATTGCAGGTGCCCGGCAACTGTTTAAAAGATGTGTTTCAAAGACATGCCCAAGGTCACAGCACGCGGGTCCCTGTTGACGTGCCTGCCTGAGGTCGCAGCACGCGGGTCCCTGTTGACGTGCCCGAGGTCCCAGTGTGTGGGCCCGTGGGTCGATGTGACTGAGGTCAGCCCATTTAGTTCTGAATGAATGTTTCTTCACCTCCTGAAGGTAACAGTGAGCCTGAATGTGTTTAATTAAAATACTGCAGATGTGAAGTGAATGAAAACAAGCCCACACACTGCCATCAGTCTCCCATGGCTTCCGCACGACACTGACACCCAGCAAGAGCCACGCTTGTTCATGTTTGCTCAGTAAGTCTACGGTCGGGGCCGTGTGCACAGACCTCACAAGCCTCTGCACACGAGGCCACGAGCCCCGCGGCCAGCGGCCAGCGCCCAGCCCAGCACAGCCAGGGGGCAGCTCGCCTGCAGCTCACCTGTGCACACGCTCCAGCTCCCGGCGGTGTTCCCGCGTCATCAGCTGCTGCTGCTCCTGCAGCTCCTCCACCCGCCGGGCCTCGCGGGCCAGCGCCTGCCTCAGCTTGGCCGCCTCGATCTTGAGCTCGCTGGCCTCTGCCTGCCGGGCCTCCTCCGCACGCCGGGCCTGGATGAAGGCGGCATCGTAGCGCTCCAGCTCGCGGTCCCGCTCCTCCAGCACCTGCAGGTTGTAGACGAAGTCCTCCTGCAGACGTCGCAGCCGGCCCTGCGCCTCCTCCAGCTGGCGCTGCGTGTCCTGCAGAGCAGAGCCCTGCAGCTGGGCGCGGTGGGCCTGCAACGCCCGCCACTCCTCCTCCTTGTGGACCAGCAGCTCCTCCAGGGCCCGCCCCGAGGGCAGCATCGTGGCAGCTGTGCAGAGATGGGGCAGGTGCGGACTCAGGCTGGGCTCCAACGTCCCTCCACTGCCCCCAGATCAGAGCCTGTCACAGACACAGGGGGACGCCCTGGGCCAGCCACCCTGGGGTCTTGTGGTAGTTAAGGCCGTGTGTCAACTTGGCTGGGCCTGGTTCTGAGTGGCTGGGCAACTGGATGTAGTACTCCCCATGATGAGATTAGCAATCAACTCCACGGGGGAGTCAGTCTACTGGGGCAGCTGAGTAGCTGCCTTAGGGATGTGTTCTGCTTCTAGTATATAGAAAGCTGCTGGAGCAAGACCAAGGTCAAGGGGCTTTCACCCAGCCCCTAGAGCTGACACTTTGAGCTTGGACTTCTCACCTCCTAAATGGTAAGAGAATAAAGTCCTGTTTGTTAGAGCCACTCATTTGTGGTGTGTCTGTTAGAGTCACATGAAGTAACCAAAACAGGTCTGGTCAAACCTGAGTCCTGCCACACACCCAGCTGGTCAACAGGCTGAGCTCCAGACCCCAGGGGCTGCCCACCCCTCAGCCAAGGGCCCCTCTGCCTGTCCTCAGCTGACACACTCTCAGCACACAGCAATGGAAGAAAGACAGAAACTCCGCGTACCACCTACGACTAGTTCTTAAACACAGCCTCGTGGAACCATCTCCACTCTGCAGACGACTAAACTGGCTGCCAACGGTTGAGCGAGGGCTGGAGCCCAGGTGGCCCCAGCACCCTACCCCAGACCCAGAGCTGGAGCCGTCCTGAGACTCACCGCCCACTGGCATGTGCGTGTCCTCAGTCTCCAGTCTGTCGTGGGCCAGCACTTCTGTAAAGCACAATAAAACAAAATGCTGGGAAATGCGCACACACAGCCGTTCGCTCACTCTCGGGTGACCCTGTGTGACTGCTGAGCAGGGTCCCGGGCCCACCTGCTCTGTCTGAGGGGCTCAGCTGAGGACTGGGCACACGAGCCGGGCACACGTTCTGCAGATGCCTGGCCTCTTCCGGTCCGCTCCCAGTCAGATTGCTGCACAAACGGGGCCGGCTCTGACATGCAAGCTGCTTAGCGTACCCCTTTCCCAGTTGCATGGTGCCCAGTCCATCAGAAGGCACGCTGTGAAAGGGGGGGCCACACACAAGGCCAGGCAGGTTTGAGCCAATTCCGGCCTTCCTCCCTGGGTAGGCGACCTGAATGGTGCCCTCTCCTCTGAGCACTTTTCCAGAGGGGATGCGCGGATGGGAACGGGGATCTGGCAAAGACATCTGTGCGTCACTCCCACCCCGAGACTTCAAAATGCCTGCCCCACTGTGAGAAGGAAAGACGTCTCCATGCTCTTCCAGGACATGCCAGTTCACAGCGTTTACAGGGATACTTCTGGTTGAGCACCAAAGTGCTCATGTGTACGTGTGCGAGAGGCATGTACATGTGCGAGGGGTGCATGAGCGAGGTGTGTACGTGTGCGAGAGGCACGTATGTGTGCAATGGGCACTGTGGGGGGGCATGTGGGTATATGAGGGGCAAGTAGGTGTGCAAAGGGCACGTGTGTGCATGAGGAACATATATGTGCATGGGGCACTGCATGTGTGGAGGGCACGTGGGTGTGTGAGAGGCACATGCATGTGTGAGGTGCACATGCATGTATGAGGGGTATGTATGTCTGCACAGGGCACTGTGTGTGTGGGCACACGGGTGTGCGAGGGAACATGTGCATGTATGAGGGGGGTGTACATGTGCAAAAGGCATGTACGTGTGGGGTGATGTGCATTTGTGGGGGCATGTGCGTGAGACGTGTAGTGTACGAGGTGCATGTACTTGTACAGAGGTGTGGGCGTGTGCAAGGGGCTGCATGTGTGAGGGGCAGATGGGTGTGCCAGGGCTGCGTGCATGTGAGGGGTAGGTGCATGTGACAGCAGTGTGACAGGAATGTGAGGAGGCCCACAGAGTGCAGCACCTGGGCCCCAGGGAGCTCACCATGGCAGTGATCACCCTGCTCCAGGTGTCACCTGCAAGTACCCTCCAGTGCCTCCACTCCGGTCAACATAACCAAACACTCAGAGACAGATCAGGATCCAAGAACTAGAGACAGTAGGTCTGTCTCCCCTTCTACATCAACTCTGGAAGCTGAACCAGCAGCCACTCGATCAGCAGGACCACTGTCCTTCAAAACCACAAAATCCATGTCACTCCTGAGGTCCCTAATCCAAACCCAGCAAGGAGACCAAGCCAGGAGGCAAAACTACTTTACTATACCATCTGGGCAAGGGTTCTTGTTACCAGTGCCACTCTGACAGGAATATACCACACATGGAATGGCTTGAACAAATGGGAGTTTATTCTCTAACAGTTTGGAGGCTTTAAGTCTGAGTTCAAAGTGCCAGGCTCTAGGGGCTGGGTGAAAACCCCTCAACCTTGGGCTTCAGCTCTGCCTCCTGCTCCCAGCCCACTGGAACTAGAGGCTTTTCTTCACTCAGACAGCTGTTGGCTGCTGAGGCTGACAAGCCCAAGGTTGACAAGTAAATAGGCACAGTCCTGATGTTACCAAACCACACGACAGGCCATTCATTCTCCATTCAAAGTCCCAAGGTCAGCAGAGTATGGTAGGCTGCTGAACAACGTTATATGCAGGGTTCAAGGGTGCCATAAGCTAGAGAACATTCCCCAAGGCGTCCCCTTATATATGGGAAGCAGACCACGTTCCCTAAGGCAGCTACTCAGCTGCTCACAGTAGATTCCACCATGGAGTTGATTACCAGTCCCATCATGGGGAATACCATTACCAGCTGCCCAGCCACTCAGCTAGGCCCAGCCAAGTTGACACACAAACTGAACCACCACAATAAGAGAATGAAAGAGAATAAGAGAGACCATGAAAATGGTCTGGGCTTGTATTTGAAAAATCTCGAGATACTGTGTCAGGCACCATGCCCAGACGCTGTCCTGCTCAAGGCCGTGCTCAGGACATGCTCCCATCAGGACACACGCCAGAGGGGCTAGGTGGCATTGTGTCCACCCAGCCCCTCTGGGCTCCCAGCAGCCAGCGTGTTACAGCTGCTCTCTGAAGAAAGGCCTCTGAGCCCTGACTGGACAGGCCACATTGTCCCACCAGAGTCCACGCTGGCACAGAGGGGCTGCTGGATTAACGTGTGGTGAATGACTCAGTCTGCCAACCCGAGAGAAACCGCTGTGTTCTGACTGAAGGGCAGTCCCCCGTACACGAGGAGCACGTGCTGCTCTGCGTCCCACCACAGCTGCCCTGTGGTTGCAAAGCTCACCACGGGATTATCCCAAAGCCCCAGGCTGAGGGTAATCAGCTTAAATACCAGAGTCACAGTCTGGGCACAGCCGGCCCCTGCTGTTCAGGCAGGACTGCCGTGAAGGCGCTGGAAGCTGCAAGAGATCCCTCACAGGCTTCCAAGAGACCCACCGGGCACTGCTGCCCTACAGGTGGTGCCTTGGTCACTCCTCATTGCTCATCTGTGAAGGGCGGAGCTTCCCAACTAACGGAGATGATGTGAGCTTACCTGCGAGGCCTGACATTGTTGTTCTCTGGAAAAGGGAAGGCCAGGGTTCTCGAACACACAGAGCACATGGCTCCCAACACCCTCGGCAGCACAGAGGCCCACTGGACAGAAAGGTCTCATCAGCAGATAAAGCACAGCCAGCCTATCCTGCCTCACTCTAACGCCATCAGTTCCGAACACTCCAACAAGCCCTTGGTTTCAAGATGATGACAGGAAGGTGTCCATGGAGTACGGACCAGCAGTGGACATACCCACGCGACACCTGACCCGAGTGCGCAGGCTGTCCCTGAGCTAGGTGAGGTCTGGTGCCCAGAGAGAGCAGGGGAAGAGGTGAAGGAGGTTCAGCAGACAGTCACCACCCGGAAGCCTCTGCGTCTCGGCCAGATTTAGGACAGGACCCGAAAGCGCACAGCTGGAAGCAGTGCTCCAGCCTGCGTCCCTGGAGAGGAAAGGGTGAGAGCCAAAGGGATCCAGGAACATGCCCTGGGGCTTCCTTCAACCGGCCATCATTATGATTAATGAGGAAACAAGGCCTGCCGTGAGCAGTATGCTCTTCTAAGGATCTACAAACCCCAACTGCCTCTGGAAACTTCCACCCAAATGACAACAAAAAGTTAAAAAAAGAAAACTCTGAAGATCCACCTCCATGGGATCACACTGACAAGAGCGACTGGAGAGACTGGACAGGAAGCTCAGGCAGCAGAGGCCCAACACACACACGCGTGTGTCATCTGTTCCACTCTATTTGCTCTTGTCGGGAACGCACAGCAGGGCAACACCCGTTCAACAGTGTCCATGTGTGCGATGCAGCGACGCTGATGGCACTCCATGACACAGCCAACGGTGTTTGGAAATGATCGAGAGGGAAGACAGTGCATTCCAGGCATGGCAGGCTCTACCTTGGGCACTGCCCCACCCCATCCTGGTGGGGCCCACTCCCTCGCAAACACGCTGCGGCAATAATCCTAAATACATTTCTGTCCCTTCCTGCAGCTAAGCCCACCCATTGCCAAGGCTACCAGGTAATCACGGTAGAACTGTCCGTCGGAGACAAACTCACGGACCCCCTCATCAGCAGCCGTGACCGTGGAACTGGCCATGCTTCTGCTTGGCTGACTAAGGGTCAGGAGCAACTGTTCAGAATAAGCATTTCATTAGCATGTGATGGAGAGAGTACTGCAGGCCCCAAACACATATGCAGCTATTTATCCAGCAATTTGTAAAGGCTAAGTTTGACTTCAAGTAAAATCGCTAGATGCCTAGAAACAAGATGTTAGGCACCCTGGCTGGGCAAAAAGACATCCATAGCAGCAGCTTCCTGTCAGACCTTCCTCGGAAGGGGGACCCTCCAAATGCACATGGCCAGTGCAGAGGACCCTCTAGCTGGGGTAACGAATGTGGTTGCCTTCTTGCTCCCTAAGATAGTCAGGGAAGGAAGGGATGCCCGGGGTGGCTCCTCTGCTCTGCATCCCACAC